TCCTAAAAGAAACGGATGGTAAAACAAAGAAAAATCAAAGAAGCGGCTCTAATTATGCTATATGAGGCCAATTGTGTCGCAAATTCCTCGGTAGAATGTAGTAGGATCTGGTTACCAATATTGAAAGAGGAAATTATTAATAAGAAAATACCAGTCTTAGTAAGTCAGTAACATATAGAGGATACATCATTTATGTTTTTTTTTTTTTTAAATAACGTAACATATAAAATCAGAATTTTGATGTTTGTTGAAGGTAAACTAAATTCACGAACAAATACTTACAATGTCGGGATAGTATTATGAGGTTTTTTTTTCTGGTTTTTCCCTCATAATTTACTATGGAATCACTAACAGGAGAATTTTACTGTCATCATGTCATGCGTTTGTCTTTTTAAAGACGAATTACATGGTATGATTTTTTTCTGATGGATATTCTCAAGTTAAAGTTGATTTCATGTAATCGAATGAACTATCTTATAAGTAAAGTCGTCCCAGGAGCGCAACTCAACAATATTGGCAATATCATTTTAAAGTCGTCTACTTTAAAATGCATAATGTATGTCTGAATTGTCAATATAAATGAGTCAGATAAAATTAAATTATTAGAAGAATTTTCCACTATGTAACAAAAAACAAAATTTGTTTAATTTACTGTTTGTATTTTGAGCACGATTTCCGAAGTGGAAATTGAAACGTCAATAAACGTATTTTTATCTTTAATTGTGGCTTATTCCCAGTTTAATAGTAATTAACTTCCCATATTTGGTCTTCGTCTACTATCAGGTTTCCTTGCTTATCTTTTACATTCATCGTTATTTCCTGGTTCCTAGTTTTAATATATTTTACCTCTTTGAAGTGTTCTATAATGAATACAGTAATTCTTTCAGAGAATATTGAAGGTCTTCAAATTCTGCTTGTATTTGAGAACTGTGATAACGGACCAACTAGATCCAGACATAGAAATAAAACATAGAATAGCAATAACAAAAACTACTTTTCTAAATATGAAGTAATTTCTTTGCAATAATCATCTCAGTTTAGAACTAAGACAAATAATGATTAAGTGCTATGTTTGGTCCATACTTTTGTATGGTGCAGAAGTATGGACGGTAAAAAAGTATCGATCATGAATAAAATTGAAGAATTGGTAATGTGGGTTCATAGACGAATGCTGAAGATACCTTGGACAGCAATGAAAACTAATGAAGAAGTACTAAGGAGCGTCAATAAAAACAAAGAACTGCTAAAGACTGTTAAACATCGAATAATGTCTTATCTGGGGCATATAGTAAGAAGAAGTCGATATAAAATGTTACAACTGATCCTTAAAGGCAAAATAGAGGTGTAAGAAGAAAACAAGTTTCTTGGTTAAAAAACATTCTTGACTGAACTCAGATATCAAATGTGGGACAATTATTCCATATTGCAGAAGATCGACAAGCCTTCGCAATGGTGATCACCAACATCGGATAATTCTGATATGGCACGAGAAGAAGAAGAAGAAGACTGTTAATAAATAAATAAAATAAACAAAAAACAATAAAAATTAAAAAGAGCATACAAAAGGATGGAAAAATTTAATATTCCGTTGAGTAAAGTTTGTGTTAATTAAGCACAAAATATACATAGTGTACCTATCACAAAAGAGCACAACAAAGAATTTTTTTTTATTTTTAACTGTTAAATATTTCTAAGAACGACAAACATTATTTTAATTTTTCCCAAAGATGCAAATATCGATTTTTCAAACAAACGTATTCCTTGGAAATTTATTTGGCAGACAAAGAATAGTTTCCCTTGTTCAACTCCCACGTAAATGTATATATATCTGAGCTGTATTGATTCGATAATTCATATAACAACAACAAACTACTTACACAATAGTTTCGTCTAGTAAAAAACTACGTTACCTGCCGAAAAATAGTACCGACAACTCATTGTTTATTTCGGAAGTAGTATCGATGACCTCAGGTACTTTTCTGAGTTTTACAGGTGGGCAGCAACACCAAATATTCTACTACCCAAACTTTAAAACCCCAAAAAATACTCTGACCACATCAGCTACAAGTTCGGCGAAGGAACAGTGTATGTTTCTGTGATCTTGCTAATTAATTCAAATTTTCGATTTTACTACAACTGAACCCTGACTTTGCCGGGGATGAAATAATGAATGAACTGGGACTATGAATGAAACAGCATCTGCGCCATCTACGGCAACTAATTCATCGATTAGTTTGGTAAGATAACCGAAGTTCGCGACAGAATTCTACATTTGTAATTTTTTACGCCTACGCACCAGATGGCGCTGATGTGGTTAATGCATCCAACAGAAATAAATGTAAATTAATTAATTGGAGAATAGAATATGGTAGATGATAGAGTTGTATCAAAGAATATAGACGCATATAGAAGGACAGTTCAAATGGGCGAGTTGGGTAGGTACGGTTATTATGCTTCAAAACAATCCTTAAGAGGACGACTGCATAAACCATCATAAAAGATGTAGTTAGGGGGAAGTGGGAAAGGGGTATGAACGGAGCTATTTATTTAACCCTAGAATACTAACGTTTCTTTAGCATACATAATATTTTCTTTTTATTTCATATCTAATTAAAACAAAATGGTTTAAGTTCAAGAGAAGTTTATTTAGGAACTCTCTATCTATTTGATGCTCTCCATACAAGGTAATTCCCACACATTTGGTAGTTGTCATTCGTTTCTTTGCTTTAGATCATGAACTACAATAAGTCCTGTTTCCTTTCCCTTGAAGACCTCAGCGACCTTCAGCAACATGCGGTAAATTCAAAAGCATGGAAAGGCTCTCTTTGATATTTCTTTATAAAGTTGGTACTGTTTGGAGTTTTATTTGATGCCACGGCTTCGTTAATCGTTCATGAAGTTTCAGCATATTTAATCTTGATAATGGCTCTTGTTTTTAGTTGCATTGTGATGGTAGATTACAAAAGCGTTTACTCCTGCAATATTCATCATATTGTAAAATATGCGTAGCGGCCACCTTCTACTATTCCTATTACAGCAAATGTTCTGAGACATTTGTTCAAACGTATCTATAGCCCCTTTAATTGAATTATATCTATGGATTATTTCGGGTTTTGTTGTTTCATGATTAATGTTTTCAGAAAAATGCATAGTTAAAAGTAGAAGAACTTCCTTATTTTTCTTAGGTTTATAAGATAATAAAGTCATTCATCGTACACAAACATAATTGAACCGCACTTCCAAGTTTTGTTATCAAGCTATTCAGGAGGTATTTCTCCGAAGTGTTCCGACCATTGTCAAATTGTAAGAGGAAGATAATAATTTATTTGCAAGAGGGATGCTGGAAAACCAGTTGTCCTTTGTCACATTACGTCTACTTATCCATGTAAACGTTTCGTCAGGCTTGTGATAAAATGCCGTTGGTTACAGTAGATTTACCCAGATACAGTGTTGCATTTATTACATATTTCGTAGCCACATCACAACTCATAAGTATTTTTATGTCGTATTTACTAGGTTTGTTTGGCATATACATGCGAAATGGCCACCTGCCACGAAATCCTAGGAGTTGTTCATCGATTATCACATTTGAACTAGCTTTATAATTTTTGACACAATTTTCAATAAACAAGTTCCAAATTTTAGATAATGGAACAAAACTACTTTCTTTTTACGTTCTTCTCTTGTCAAGAAGTTATCAAATCGTAAAGAATTAATCAAAAAGTTACACCTTTCTTTACTCATAGTTGCTTTATATCTATATGGCCACAATAAGTTCTATCAAACAAAACGTCAACTAAGAGGTGATTACTTTTTAAAGCCGCAGATAAAAATAACAAACCTAACAGTGCTTTCAGTTCAGGCAATGTCGTTTCTAAAACAGTAGCTTTTTTTGTCTGGTACTTCTCTGGTGACTCTGCAATTTTTTCGTTTGTACGTAGCATAACTTTGTCCAGAATCTGATCTGTAAAAAATAAACACATTTATAGGTTCTATAGCATCTTTAGCTCAGATGTAGTCCGGCGTCTTGATAAATGGCTTCATTGGTTATGAACAATGGTATAAACCAATACATGTTCCTCAAATTGTGACCAGTTGGTTTCACTTGGTAAATATAATGCTTCCTCCTAGTACATACCTAGATATTTGATTCCTATCGGATTTTCCCTACGCGTTGTAAATGTAAGGTGTAGTGATTTGTTTTTATTATTTTGACTCTCTATTGCATTTTATTTAAATTATTTTGTAGAATTTCTGAAGCTATTTTGGGATTTTTTATATGCTAGTATTGCCGTATCATCCGCAAATGTGGTTATGTTAATATTTGCGTCTGTCGGTGGGTCAGCAGTGAATATAAGGTATAATAAGTGTCTTAGGATGCTTCCTTGAGGCACCCCGGTGAGAATTTGTTGTATGCCTGTGTATTCATTCTCATATTTTACCTGGAAATTTCTGTTAGTGATATAGGACTTCAAGATTATATAATTATTTGTGGTTAATTCTCTTTTAGTTTACATAAGAGACCTTTATGTCAGACTGTATCAATTGACTGTTATATGTTCAGGACTACCGCTGAGCAGTACCTATTATTTTCAAAGTCTTGCATTGATTATTTCTACAACTCTGTAGAACTTCAGAACTACTAAATACAAATATATGGGCAGATTTCCTTTATTATAAAATATCTGTTCATTATCTTCTTGAAACTTTGCAAGAGTTTTGCTGTTCTCAAGTTTTTGATATTTTTTTCTTCTTTGTGATATATTCTTGATTTTGTCTTAAATCATATAGTTAACCTTTAAAGTTTTCGTAATATTTTTATCATTTTATTCATGTTCATGATTTATTAAGTGATGACCATTAGTACTGGGAATTTTTCTATACTTTCCTCCCATTTGTACCATACAAATGCTGTCCAATATATACCAATCATCGACCACTTGTCTTTATTACTTTTTATAAAAGATGAGGAATAAAGGGATTGAAATAAAACAACGAGAAACTTGTTATTGTATATAAACTGTTAATGTAAAAGTATCAAAACATTAAACTACAAATTAAAATGCCAATAAGCTATTTTACAAATAATATCTCAAAATAACACGATACATATCAAGTTTATTTCAACAGATCTAAAAATAGTAAACATTAAATTCATACAACACTAAAATAATCAGAAGCACGATCAGCTCCATGTATAAATGTAAAATATGAACGCAACACTGTCGAGAAATACAATTATGTTTTGACACAATGAAAAAACCTGGCACATTTTGTTGTGTGTTCAAAAGGTGTCAAAGACAGGACAGTAGACTATTAGAAAGTAGTTCAAATGCAACATGTCATATGAAATGAATAAAAAAACACTATATAATCGTTGTTCTACAAAATAGCCAAAAAGTGCCACTTGACACCAATGAGCCGATTTTCTATACAATTTATTGCCCTAAAAATGTTTTGTTTCAAAATACACCTGTTCCAAGTATTCAAAAGATGTTCAAGATAAATTCTAAAGCTGCTTACTGAACACTATCAGATAGTAGTTCAAATGTCACATGACATATAGCCCCAATAAAACCTACTATACGACTATTTTGTAATAAAATGACCAAGTGTTCATCCAGACCACTGGTAGATTTCCTATATGAAATATCTTCTGTATCAGTTAAAATTGTTTCCTGTTTAATAAAATCTGTTATAGGCTTGTCCAAATTTGCAAAAGTTGTTCAAGGTATCTCATAAAGTTGTTTGAGAACTTTACATGCCATTATCAGAAAGTAGTTCAAATGTCACATGACAAAGTTCAAATAAAACAATAATATACAACTATTTTTTGATAAAAATTCCATGGACACATTTCCAATATGAAATATATATGTACTGTATTGTTCTAAAACTGTTTTAAATACAGTTTTTCAAAGTTGTTTAAGTCATATGACACTAGTTCAAATAACACATGACATACAATCGAAAAAGCCAGACATCTACAATAAAATCCTAATTATTGAAAATAAATGATTCATTCTCCTGATTATTTTAACACTACATAAAGAAGACATCTTAAAAAATCAAAATTTATGATACAGACATAAAAACATGGAGTATTTCACCTTTAAAAACGTTACTGATGACATTATTACATTCTCCTTCCAGGTCTCGATTCTAATCTTTCTAATTTAACAATTGATCGGCAATCTTTCTTCTATTTCTATCCTTAATAATATGGAATGGCGAGATCGGATATAAAATGGAGTACAAAACGTTGTATACTTCACGAAATTTGGTTTTAGAATGAGAATCCTCCATTAGGCACTTGTGTGGGGGATGAGAACTGCATTTGGCCATCTGCTGTAACTGGGGCTGGCATATTGTCGTCATTACCGCCCTAAAACACATAAAATAACATCAATAATCTCGAAAAAATCGGTCCTAGCATATCAATGATTATTTTTATTCAGTTTGCATTATTATTTCATTCACATTTGTTTAATACAGAAAATAAAGTTAAAAATAAGGTACTTACCTCTGAGAAATAGTTCTCGATGATACTAAGAGCTTTCTCATAGATCTTTTCATTGTCATGAGATTGTAAGGCTTCAATTCCATCTAGGCCACCACATTCCTCAATCATAATAGCTATTTTCTCCACTTGACCCATCTTATTAGCTGCCTAGAAATAAACAAAAATATGCAATATTATTTCAAATGTATCTCTTCTCTATCCTGTTTATCTATAGTCCAATTCTCCTCCTGCACTCTTTTTCAATCACCTCTAATTCTCTCTCTTTCTCCATTTCCTCCCCAATACCTCCTCTCCCACAATCACTCTCTTACCCCTTCACAAACTTCAATCTACATTCACTCTTTCTCCTCCTTCCACCTATCAACCCTTTTCTCCTTCACTCCTCTCTATATCACCTCTTCTGTCCTTCAACTTTATAAAACTATTAAAAAAAGACATAGAATATTAAAAAAAAATAGAGTAAACAAGAACTTACATTGAGTATGTTGTTAAGTCCATCTAAAACAACAAGGACAGTCTTCTGATCTTTGGAATTGATAAGGTTACACATTGGTTTCAAGGCACCAGCCTCAACTAATTTGGCAAGTTGCGAGATTGTACCTCCACTTGTAAAATTCGTCACAGCCCAAGAAGCTTCTTTCTGACTCTTAAAGTCACCAGTTTGAAGGACATGGAGTAATGGTGGGAGTATACCAGCATCGATAACTTTCTGGATCTGTTCACTGTTACCTGCAGTGATATTAGACACTGTCCAAGCAGCTTCTTTGACAATATTCAGTTTACTGTGTTGTAGAAGATCTGCCAATACATTTAATGCTCCTGCATTGATCACACAGTCGGTTTGCTGGTCATTTCCTGTCACTATATTACCTACAGCTCTTAAGGCAGGTGTCAAAACTGTTCCATGTTCACTGTAGAGTAGCTGAACCAACCTGTCGATGAGTCCAGTGTCTAGTACTGCTTGAATCTTTTCATTTGGACCATCTGTTAGATAGCTTAAAGCCCAACAGGTATCTGCTTGTACTTCTGGGTCGCTGTGATTCAAAAGGCGTGCTATAAATGGAAGTGCTGGCCTAAGGAGGTTGAAATCTGGAGAGGGATTCTAAAGAATACAAAAAAAAATCATTATTTTACTCATTTAATGTTATTTTTGCAAATATAGTTTGCAAATTTTTGCAAAAATTGGTTTTTTACCAAACTGACATTTTTATACATAAACTTACCTTATTTCTGCACAAGTTAGAAATAGTCCACACAGTATTCCTCAATAATGACAAAGAGGTACTTGGTTGTATCAGGCCAAGAAGATCTGCGAGGACATTACAGGACAAAACCATATCTCTAGTTGTTGAACCGTCTCCTGCAATGTTACCAAGTGCCCAAACAGCTTGCTCTGCTACATCTATTCGAGGGGAAGACAAGAGTCCTTGTAGACGAGGAATGGCTCCTTCCTGAACCACAGCTGCAGTCTGTTCTGATGTTCCAGAGGCTATGTTGGTTAGGGCCCAGCAAGCCTCAAATTGAAGGGATGGACTAAAAAATATTGATGAAGAATATTTGGTAGTTTGAAGAATTTATTATATGAAAACACAAAATATGTATGTTTTGCCCAATAAGTAAAGACATCTTCAATAGCTTTACCCCTATTGGGTCTCATTAGGCCTTTTAGGTCTATAGTTTTAAAACTACTTACTTGTGTGCTTTTGTCAGGAATTCCACACATCTAGGTACAACTCCCAGGCGGATCATGTGATCAATTGGTGGTGTTTTTTCTCTGCTCAAAATCTTTCTGCATGCCAATGTAGCTCTATACTGAATAGCTTCATCTGAGTTCATCATACCTAGAAAATAATTTTGTTAAATACAATTTTATTATTTATTTGAAAGGAAATTATGACATTGCATTGAATCAAAGTTTCAGTTTGACCAGACATCACACAAAAAAATTATGAATAAGATGGAATTTTACTATGATCTCACTGAATTCACAACAAAAACACAAGATAACAAGAATACATTGAATAATTAATAAGAAATCATCATCAGTGGCATTACAGCTTGTTATGAGCCAAAGCCTTCTTCAGAACAATCTTCCATTCACCCCTGTCTATGGCAACTTTTCCCCATGCTTTAACTCTAATGGATTTTAGATCATCCTCTATGTTATCTTGATACCTAAGTTGCTGTCATTCTCTGGATGGTTTTCCCACTGGTCCTCTTCAGTCGAAAATTTTTCTGATTGTTGCATCGTGATCTCACCTAATTACATCCATCGAAGGTGTGCTAATTTAATAAATTTTACAACGTCATGTTCTCCCAAAGTTATAGTACCTACTCCACAAACCCTGTTAATGGACTCCTCAAATAATAAGAAATAAAACTGATAATACATTCTGAATTAACTTGAGATTGATATCATTTTTTTAAATTAACTAATACAATCCAGTGCCAGTTCCATGATAAATCCATCAATCAGAATGATTATTAACGTACTTACCATACATAATTTCTTCTGCAGACATAGTAGGGGAAGACACTGAGTTGTTCTCTTGGAGTGGAGATGTAGGTTCTTCACTAGTGGAGATATTCCTTCTCTTAAGTAGTTGGTCATCTTTCCTTGCTTTCCTGAGTTCAACAGTTTGCCCTATACGTCTTCGTCTCATTTCCTAATTGAGAAAAATACATTAAAAACTAACACTCAAATACAAAAAATTATAAACTAACTAACCTCAGTATCCTTGCCCTTGTTCTTAAAAGATCTAATTCTGTTTTCATCTGCCATTTTTCCTGCAATATCGAAAAACTAATTAGGATAACCCACGTTTTCAATGGCTACTTACAAAGGGCACAAAAACTACCGGAATTTTGTTCACCATTTACGATAAAAAAACTACGCAATACTAATTGTATCCTCTACAAATAATAGTAGTTAACGTCAGATATTTTGCCTACCTTGTTTTAATGTAGTAGACAATATAGGAATAGAAATAAAATATAAAACCTGTTGAACAAAGAAACACCCTTAACGATAGTGGTTTTGATAAAAATGACGATTTTCGGTTACCTTTTTTGTCAGTTTTGACAGCTTTGAAACTGTCCAATCGAAAATTATATCGATCGTCCTTGTATCTGATTGGACAGGATAAAATAATGGCTACTATTTTTGCCGGTAAATTTAAACTTAATCGTGTTTATATGAAAATATAAGCGTAATGAAATCTTTGATGCCTGAATAATTTCGAAATAAATAAAAGTGACATACAAACACTTTGATTTATTTTTATTAATAATAAATATTATAGACAATACTAAAAAAATAATATGCTTCTGATAGATAGGCAATACATTATACAACTAGGTATATAGTGTTGAAACTATCGGATTCTTGTTACAATTTTCTAGAACAAAAATATAATTTGAGATCTCTCACTATTTATTTACATATTTATTTATTATTTCAAATGTTGATTATAATGACCAAATCCTGTTATTGTATGTTACCTAAGATATGGTAAATAAGGTATTACTGATTTTCCCGCTCTCAAACCGGCTTTTCAATCATATTGTATTTAATTGTTTGTTTCCCTATACCTACTCTGAAGATTGAAATTTCTCCTTTTATACCTCACAGTCATTTAGCAAAATGTTTTCCAATAAATAAATAAATAACACATACATATTTCATAATATACCTCCAAAATAATATAAACAACTTCATAAATATATTATAACATCACTTCTAGTCTCACAAACAATAACATCAATTAACTTTTTCTTAATCACAACAATTAGGTAACTTCCAGACTGTTTCCTCAAGAGCGTTGTTTGCAAGAAACCTGATAGAACTCTTAGTTGCGATAATATGTAATAATTGTTTTGGCATATTAATTTAACTTGTGCAAAGACCTGAATATGTCCAGAAAATTGTTATGGTCGAAACCGGTCGTCCTAAGCTAAATAAAATAGACTGAGTAAGTCTAAAATTGGGTAGAAACAAAGAATCATGGAAGGAATATTACTTCCATGTAAATATCTTTGTGAAATTGCTTTCTATAAAACAATCACTGATTTTAATATATGTTTTCATCATAATGAATATCGGAAGACTCTTTAATCACTTCTTTTGAATGTCTATTTAATAAAAAACGAAAGTTCATTTTATAAATTTGTATATTTGTAATTATGGGATTCTATTTGATAGAATTACTAATAAAAACAGGTGGCAGTAGCATTTTGTTCATCTGTGACTGGACTATTTAGAGTAGAGTACAGTAGAGTAAATTTTTATTTGCATAAATTTTTAAACATAATTGAGCAAATAACGTCACATTATTAATTACAGATTAAAAAATATATATTGACATCACATATTTAAAATATATTAACATTACAAATTAAGTATGCTGATCAACGAGAACGATAGGCCAGGGACTCCGCTACAGTATAGGGCTCAATGTCAACTAGGTGTTGAAAAACCTTTCTTTTAAAAGCTTTATCGTGTGTTTCCTGTTGAATCTCAGATGGTAAACTATTATAAAATTTAACACAGGCATACCACCGAGGCATACAAGGGACTTCTCTCTGTTATAGACAATCTGTGAAGTAGTAAATTCAAATTAAGGCTTCTTGAACATAATACATTCAAATATATAGATGGCTGAGAAAGTCAGTATATTGAGTGATTTGAATCGGCCTCTACAGGATTCTCCCGCCTTTAGTCCTCAGATCATCCGAACTGCCTTTTTTGGACTATAAAGACAGTTGAGCTATCTACTGCAGCACCCTAGAAAATTACTCCGTAATCAGACTCTATTCAGTTTTTTTGTTGTATTTGTTCCCCCCAATTCAGATTCTGATCAATATGAATACCAAGAAATTTAACTGATCTGGCAGGTTCCGTGTTTTGTGATAAAAAATTAATTGTATCTGGAAACTGTTATCGTGACTAAGTGGTTCTAAAGTAGATAAAAAGTGTCTTATAAGTATTAAGCAACAACAGATTTCCACTGAACCACTGTTCAGCCTTATTTGTTTATGATATATACCTCTCTACTTAACAACACCACTCAAAAAGTTTTTCTGTAATAATTTATTGAAAACTATATATCCACAGCTACAGCAACTGGAATTGTTGGGGAAACTTCAGGTTTTGATGAAGTAACTTGAATTGGTCTAGCGCTTCAGAGTAAACGACATGATTTAAGGTAACTCTACAGGGTTTCAAAGAAATTTGAACTGCTTCACGAGTCTCTGGAGGATTTCAGACAAGAATGATAGGTTTGAGACAGTTCCCTAGCGCTTCATAACAAACAAACATGATTTTAGTGGGGTCTGAAGAATTTCACATCAGCATGAAATGATTTCTTTGTTCTGTAGGTCTTCAAGGTACATACATGATTTCAGAGCAAGCTAGAGTATTTTAGATAGTCATAGAGAAATTTAGAACATCATGGAATGATTTTGGTGGGTCTGTAAAGCTTCAGGGCAAGCTAACATGATTTAAAAAAGGTCTAGAAGATTTCAGGGCAACCTGTAATGTTTTAGAAGTTTCAGGATAGTTTAGGGCCAAAATTGGAGCTCTTCAGATCAAACTAGTTTAATTTAACAACAACCTGGAAGGTTTAATAGTGGCCTGGAGTATTTTATAACTGCCTTGTATTATTTAAGAAAGTTTGGAAGTTTTCATAGCAGCTTGGAGTGTATTGCAGAATTTCAAAGCTTCATGGAATGCAGATGGATTAACACTGGAATGGTTTAAAGTTAATGAGGTCATCAAAATGGAACGAAAAGTCAAGATTAGTGAAATAAATCCGCCAATCCAACAAAAGAGATAGAAAAACCTTTTAATCATTTCTTTTAAATGCCTTTGTAATTCAAATTTGTTTAATTCCTGCAATTGAATGTGCTTTAGGTAAATTTATGATTTAAGTTGGTTGCAGAAATTCTAAAATGTTTCAAAACTCATGGAAGATTTGAGTATTTCAAGGGGTCATGGTCATGGAGAATTTCAGAGCAGCATGAAATGCATTTACTTCTGTAGATCTTCATGACAGCCTAAAATATTTTAAGCCATGGAGAAATTTAGTACAGAATAATTTTATTAGTATTCCATAGGGCTTTAGGCCCAAAGATTTAAGGGAGGTCTAGAAGATTTCAGGACAATCTGAAAGGTTCAGAGGTTCTAGGATAATTTTGGAGCAATGCAGGTTCTCTGGTTGTTTTTTGTAATCTTAATGATTTAAGAGTAGTCTGAAATATTTTGACTTTTCTGTAAACTTTAAGGAAGCCCTGGAAGTGTTCAAAGAAAGTTAACTAGCATTTTCAGGAATTCTGGATGATTTCAGATCTGTCTAGAATACTTCAGGTAGAAATTAAACTAATTTAAGACTGTCCTGAAACATCCAGAAGCCTTCAAAGCTGCTTATAGTGTTTGGGAATGTTCTGTAGAATTTTATAAAGGTACAGGATTATTTTGTTGTGACTGACAAAAATTTAAGGAGGCTCTTGATGTTATTGGTGACTTCAGTCTAAACTAACTTGACTTTAAAGGGTCTCCTATAATATTTAAGGATGTTTTGCAAAAGTTTGATGTGACTAGCACAAATAATACAGATAGAACAAAACTACCCAGCTAGAAAAATGCTCCTTGATAGAGAATATCAAAGAATAAGGTTTCTTGACTTTCGTTTCTTATCTTTGTAAGAAAGATGTGAAATATGGGAATATATGCTTAGTATATGAAGGTGATCGATAAGGACTAGAGAGAAATTCTTGAGGCTAAAACCCATGCAAGGTTGTAATCAAAATGATGATGAAAAAGTTCTTTGTAGCTTAGAGAACTTCAAAACCACACAGAATACGAATGAATTAACACTGGAATCAATCATAAATAAGTGTCTACTTTAGATACCTATTTAATAGAAAATTAAATGTTTATTTTTTTAAATTTGTTTATTAGAACTTTTTTCACTTATAAAAACATAGTTAAACCCTAAGCTACAGCAACTGGAATTGCTGGAGGAACGTCAGGCTTTGATGCCTTAATTTCGCTGCTTGGGGATTGGGGAAGAGTTTCTTCTTTAGGCTCTACAACTGAGACATTATCAGGTAGAGGCTTCTTGGGTCCAGTCTTGCCGCTGGGATCCCATGGCAACATGATTTTAACTTTGATTCCCAATACACCTTGTCTTAAGAGTACGTGACGGGTTGCTGTGTCAACATAGTCATTGCATGGGTCTCCGGAATGGATCATAAGGCCATCTACGAACTTCATGGATTTGGCTCTTTGTCCTCTCAACTTTCCAGATACTACTACTTCACATCCTATAACAAAACAAAAATTTATATTAAAAACTAACATCATAAAATATCTTCGTAGTTATTTTAATAAAAAAAAGCCCAAAAACAAAATGGACAAATTAAATTTTAAGATCTGTTGATGAAAATATTTATGTAGAACTAGGAAACAATTATACAATACAGCTAAAACAGAAGTTAAAATATATAATAAACATCATAAACAATAAAACACTGAAAATAACTATATAGTAAAGGAATCTGCTACCAAAAGTTCACAAACATACTCTTATTGTAACTTTAAACAGAATTCTTCTATTTATTTCTTAAATTTGTCCCAGACTTTATTATGAACCTGTAATATATTTATTTTCTTAAATTTGCAAAAAAAAATTTGAGATTAGGTATTTATTTATTTAGCCCAAACAATAATTATTGGTATTAAATAACCCACATCTATATTTCCACACCTCTGGTCTAAAAAACACCTGACATCTGTTCAAGAACTTCTGTAATGTCATTCCCTCACTTTCAAGGGTGATATAACAGTAATTTTCTAATATTTATAGTTAGTTACAATGTTATTACACTTAACACAATCCCTCTTTTTGTTAGATATAAGTCACTTTTGAAATGTAACAAAAAGAGCTTTAATTTTTATATAAAACATTCAAAAAGTGGATAAAAATGTGCCATGACAAGTTTTTCTTAAAAGTTTCCAGAATCTTAGGCTTCACTTCTCTAGCTCTTTAACCTATGTACTTATTCTGCATTAACAAGGGGGTGGTCCATTTCAAGAAAAACATTTTCCATAAAAGATGTTTCCATGTCTCTAATTCAAAAAATAAATGTTAAAAACAGAGTTTAGCTTACCTTTAGCCCCACATTCCATGATGTACCTCAAGACACCATAGCAAGCCCTACGTACGGCCAAACCACCGATCAATTTGAACCTAAGTGACTCAGCTTGGGCAATAGCACACAGACCTCGGTTGGCTACTTTTTCACCATACAAAACCACTGAATCTGGAGGAAAACTAAACCTCTTCTGTACAACAGAAGTCAATTCTCTGATCCTCCTGTTCTTTTCACCTAACACCCTGTCGGTTCTGGTGGCCATAATAATAATTTCGGTACGTGTTGGGGTAACACGTACTTCCACACCGGAATAACCATCTTCGGAAAGTTCACGGGTTAAAAATTCATTTAATTCGGCTTTGAAAACACCGTCTCCAACGAATTTACGCTTTTTTGAGATTGAAGTTGCCATTTTCGCTAAGGTCGCAGACAGAAAAGAAACAGCCACGAGGTAACTAAAATCTGGTTACTTTTTGTTGGTAGCACTGATCTCTGTCATCAAAATTTCCGCCTAAAACAAGGCATGTTTACAAGAATTCAAACAGTTTATGACGACATGCTATACTTTCTATAAAAGAATATTTTTTAAAAACGATTTAAACATATGCATTAATTAAAACAATAAAAGCTTATAAAATAAAATAACAAAAATAGAAAACCTAACACGTATCACTGTCAATTTTTTTGATATCATCTAATTTCAAAGTCTCGTAAAACTGAATTATTCATAAATTTTAAGAGAATCTAGTGTTTTATTAAGAGCACTCATTAAAAATATCAACATTATATTGGTTTATTTAGTAGTATGACTTTCCCATAAAATCTTTCCTAAAGTAAAAAAAAACAGCAGTTTTGAAACTCAAAAGAAAAAGAAGTTTAGTCAGTTGTCACTGTCATTTGTCACATGTCACTATAATTTAAAAATATAAATAAACTTAAGAAAAAATGGGTAAGTTCAACAATTGATTAATATAAATAGATTTAATAATTACACCTATAATGATTTTAGAACAAGACATACCGTCTCCAAAACGACCCAGTAAAAAAATAAAAAAGAAATCTAAACCTATTACTTTCGAAGAAGGCTCTTCTTCAAATGATCTAGTCATTGTAGACGAAATTACTACTCCACCTAAAGCTAAAGCAGTAACACCAGTTAAAGCTGCTTTACCATCGACTTCCAGCTCGAGTAAAAGACGAAAAAAACGAGATAGCGCTTCAAGTGATGAAGAACGTTGGTTAACAGCGATAGAATCTGGCAAGTTAGAAGATGTAGATGACGAGCTGAAGAAAATCAAATCTAAAGATCCAGCGCTTATGACAGCTAGACAGAGGGCTATGTATGATAGGACTGGAGAGGGAACGTCATCTGTGGCCACCCCAACATTAATGTCCCTGCCAACAGGATATAAGGTACTTATTTTTGAGATCATTTCTTATTGCAAGATTTATATTTTATAACAAAATAGTTTGTCTGGCTTATTATATCTATAGAATATTGAAACCACTGCGAAAAAGGAAGGAACATTTTCAAAATTGTATTTTTCTCAGTTTATTTAATACAAATCTTGTATTTTCCTTTATTTGTTTGTGTAATTATGTGTAATGTAATAATTCTTTTATAGGAAAAAGTAATGACAGCAGAGGCTATTCAAAAAGCAGCAATTAAATCCCAAAAACGAAAACAACTGGCAGACGAAAAGAGAGAAAAGGACAAAAAGAAAACAATGGAGAAACTACTTAAAAAGCAAGACTCCAAAGCTATTAAACAAGCCAGGCCTAGAGTGGTGAGAACCACAATTCCCTCAGTACTGTATAAACAAACTTGTGATATAACAATCTTGGCATTTCCAGAGGGTTTTGATTTTCCGTTGAAAGTTCAACAAGCTCCAAAAGTTTCTCCACCTGTTTATTGCAGTATGGGGTGTGGTAACATCAAGAAATACTCTTGTTCTCAAACTGGGGTTCCTTTGTGCAGTCTACAGTGTTACAAAAATAATATTGCAAGGATTATTATTTAGATTAAAATAGTATTATGTTCCGATTTAATGTATTTAATTTATAAATATCATAATATAGATAAATTATAGCTTTGTTACATTGTTTTTAATTTAAAAATCTCTTTTTTCATTAATTCAAGTTTTAAACTCTTTCAAACAACATGAAAACCTTTCAGAGAAGTTGAATGCATTTATAGACATTGAACAATATGTGTGCAAAAGTTTGACAGGTTTAATTAATTTATGTTGCAAAAGTTTTTGCTGGTTTTACATCTTAAGCAATATGCATGTATGAGATTTGATAGCAGCAGGTGGTACAACTATTTAATCATGCTAAGATAGTCATAAAAGAAGATAGGAAAGAGGGTTAAAGTTATCTTTCCTAGTATAATATATTGCACCTTTTGGTTTTCTTTAGGTCACATCTTTGGGTTTAATTTATATTTTTTTTTACTTACCATTTTGATTTTCTCCACATATTTCATTAGTTGAATATAGATAAAGTCTCCAAAGGACTTCAAAACAATCTATATTATCTTGGGATTGCACTGACATATTTAGGAAAGCTCTGTATGCCTTCAGGGTAAATTGACATGACATTTCTTTGACTCTTAATGACTATAGAGCATTCTAGAATGTTTCAAGAGTCTCTGGAAAATTTCAGACAGGTATAGGGTGTTTTTGGCCATTCTGTGTGATTTTTGGATAAACTATTGTAATTTAACAGCATTCTTAATGTCTTTAGAGCAATCTAGAATATTTTGGGACTCACATTTAACATTAGGGGAAGCTTTGTAAGGGGGGTCTGGAATTTTTCGTGGGCTATGGAGAATTTGTTGTACTTCAGAGTAAACTGACATGTTTATAGAGTTTCTGGAAAACTTAAACCTGTCTTGGAATGTCTCAGAAATTCATATAGGATTTCAGATTGGCATAGAATGTTATGGGGAATCTATAAAGCTATCTAAATTATTTTGGGGCTTGCTTATAACTTTTGAGGAAGCTCTGGAAGAGCGCAGATCAATTTGAAATGTTTTAAGAGGTTTATTGAGATTTTCAAAGCAGCATGGAATGGTTTTTGTGAGTCTGTAGTACTTTAGTGAAACTTACCACAATTTGAGGTGATTCTGGAAGACTTCAGCATAGTTTGGAATGTTATACGAATATTTGGCTGATTTTACATAAGCATGGATGATTTTAAAGTTCTATAGAGGATGCCATAACATGATTTATGGCTCTTAGAGGTTTCAGAGCAGTCTGGACTATTTTGTACTGTCCTACAACTATTGATGAAGCTCTAGAAGACTTAAGAGGATCCAAGGGAATGCCAGGTTTGTCTGTAGTCTTTCAGAGTACACTTAAATGAATTAAAGAGGTTCTAAAGAATTTCAGAGCAGCATCGAGTATGTAAGGGGGTCCTGGAGAATTTCATGTTGGCATTTCAGTGCTGTCTAGAATGTTTCAGGACTCTCTGAACAATTTCAGGACAGCATTGGCTGTCTTTGTAGGGCTTCAGCCTAAACTAACTTGATTTTAAGGGTACTGAAAGGTTTTAAGGCTGTTGAAAGTGGTTTTATGGAACTCTAGAATGCTTCAAAGCAAAGTAAAATGCTTTTGAAACTTAAGAACTCTAGAATTAGTTATGCAGTTTTGGAGTACATAGTCTACATTAAATTAGGGGTACCTTTAGAGAAGATCGGAATATTTTTAGAGGATTTGAAGGACTTTACAGTGACATGAAATGATTTAGAAGGCCTCAAAATATCTCAGAGCTATCTACATTGTTTTACATTCTTTGTAGAGAATTTTTAGCTATCTAAGCACATTTTAGGGCATATTTAGAGAACTTCAAGGTAGATTTGATTATATTTATCTTAAAGGACTTCAAATAATGAAAACTGGAATATTTAATGATGCTCTAGAATATCTAGATTTGATGCTTATCCAGTCTAGAAGATTTCAGAGCAACATGATAAATTTTAAAATTGTCCGGAAATGTTTTAACAGACTCTAGAACACTACACTTCAGTATGGGCTAATCTGTCCGGATAATTTCAGACTGTTTCTGGAAATTTCGTATCCATGGGGGTCCAACCCTCTTACTACACTAGTCTTATGGTTCCATAAATTATTTTAGAAACTTAGAATTCAGCCAGAATTGGCAATAAAACACATATTTCTAAAAAAAAAAACATTTATTAAGATCAAATAACATAAATAGAAGATACACCTAGATTCTATAAAAGTAAATTAATATCTATATTTAGTAGAATAATCCTTGGGTGACACCACCAAACCTCTACCTTTTCTAGCTCCCCTATACACTGTCTCTACTATATCTATCATCTCCTGTTTATCCTCAAGCGGCCAATTAATCTTATTATTGTTACCAGTTCCCAAATCGATCATAATGTGTTTGTTTCTAAAGAAAAACATCACCGTACATGGATCATACAATTCGTACATTTTATTAAAGTCCGGCACTTCTGTGATGTCCACCAAATAAATCACCGCGAAGTTTTTCACTTTTTCTGCAATACTGTACAATACTTCGTCCATTTTCATGCAAGAAGGGTCCCAATCGTGCCCAAATCTGATCACTACCACTCTGTCTTCCTCCGAGAGTATAGCTTGGTCCACTTGCCAGCCGTTGTGTAAATGAGCTAACATATACGACATCTTGAAGTATTGTAATTATTTCTCGTCAAATATTTCCTCCTAAATGAATTTATTATTATTATATGCAAAATATTAGTTCACTGTTCACTCTACTGTTTATGGTTCTGTCTGTCACTATGCTGTCAATCTGAAGCCGTCATTAAAATTCTGTATTTGCACTGTTGCCAAGACAACTAATCGTAAGGTAAGTAGAAAAAATATATGATTAAAAAATAAATAACTTGGTTTTCTCAGGCACTAAATTAAATTAAATTTACACCAGGCATTAAATTCTCTTGTGATTGTTTTTTTGAAGCTACAATTTGATACTGCATTCGCTTTTCTTTTCACACTGAACAACAGGAAGCATGGGAAGACCTCAAAAAGATGGGTAGATGACCGATGAGATGACAAACATAAGAGATAAGAAGACATAAGAGCAGTGCCAGGCAAACAGTTGATTAGATTGCCGCAAGATAGAGAAAGATGTAAGCAATTTGGAGAGACCTACATTCGGGAGTGGATGGAAAATGGTTGACAAAGAGAGAGACATACATATTCTTTGTTAATTACTTGTTTTAATTTTTTTTTCCCCAACTGATATTGCATTTTTCACATGACAACACCGTATACCACAAATGTCACTAACGTCAAAACCACATGAATTGTCAAATTTTGTAAACACAAGTAAAGACACGTAAATTTGTGTCTATTTCCAATCAATTATTGTTACCATTCTATCAATAATTTAAACATTCTAAAATGGCTGGATGTGTGCCTTGTTTCGTTATTCCACTACTTCTATTTTTGTTCCACCGATTCATCCAACCAATACTACTAAAATTCTGGAATCCATGGGAGAAGTCTGCCATAAAAAAGGATGGAGAAAAAGAAAATTGTACCTTTAGCTGTGAGTGTGCTTGGATGAAGAAAAAACCAGTTGACGATAAAGACAAAGAGACACTGATTCCACCTGAAGATAAAATTAAAGCATCATAAACAGTGAAGTTGAGTTTGTACTGCTCATCTTAATGATTGACTAAAGTTGCAATGTAACTTTTTGTTTTATTGCATTTGTTATTAATAATTTTGTGATGTGAGTTTACGAAGAATATTTAATTCATATATGGCAAAAATCATTAGTGTAGGATCTGTCACCATAAGAGTTTTGGTTCTGTTGATCAAACAGTCCTTTAAAATTTCCCCTTTATGTTTAGGCAGGTTATTGATCTAATTGTAGTATTTAGTTTGTTTTACCTTTTAAATAAAATATGACTGTTATAATAGTGTTTTTATTTATTAGATTTTAAAGACAGGGATTCTTTTAATAAGCTGGAGAGAGCTTAATAAGCTAAGTATATTGAATCTGCCTTTAGTCCTAAGATCACCCGGACTGCCTTTTTTGGACTATAAAGGCAGTTAAGCTATCTACTGCAGCACCCCAGAAGATTACTCCATATGGCATAACAAAATAAAAGTTTGCATAAATCCCCTGGTCTAGATAGCTCATTAACACTCTTAATTAGTAGCAGACTCTATTCAGTTTTTTTGTTGTATTTTGTATTTGTTCCCCCAATTCAGATTCTGGTCAATATGAATACCAAGAAATTTAACTGATCTAGCAGGTTCCGTGTCTTGTGATAGAAAATTAATTGTATCTGGAAACTGTTCTTGTGACTGTCTGGTTCTAAAGTAGACAAAAACTATCTTATCAGTATTAAGCAACAACTGATTTCCACTGAACCACTATTCAGCCTTGCTTAGAATTTGCTCTGCCAGTGTGAGAAGTGTGTCTAAAGTTTATTCCCAGAAAAGCACATTTGAGTCATCAGCGAAATTTACAAGGTTTGAGGAACTACTAACCACCATATTTGGAAGGTCGTTTATGAAGAATAAAAAGAGAAAAGGCCCCAGGATACTTCCTTGTGGTATACCTAATTTTAAATTGGTAGATTCAGAGTAAACCTTACATCCCCTTTTCTCCTTATGTTTAAGATGTTTATGTTTAAGATTAGAGAAACATAATATGTCATGTTTATTGAAAATACTCAACATCATTAGCACGAGCAAATCCTACCCTGTCACCCAATTTCCTGTGAAATTAAAATGGTGCATGTTTTTAGGATCCATTTATTTTTTCGGGCACGCGTATTCACGAGGTCCATGAGGTTTTAAAACATTTCTACCAGTTGCCAAGCCATTTTAATTTTATTTTCGCTATTTTTAATTCATTCTTTATAACAAATTTTTCGAGATTAGGTGAGTAAAATTGTATTTGCGATTTTCTGTCCTGTAAATATCTTTATAATCAACATTATTGGTAGACAGTGTAAACAAAACATCAAGCCTAGATTTACAATGTTCTATATCAACATTTTTAAAGTATTTTTGTGATTTTTTTTATTTGCTGTCTTTATCTCTTTTAGTGGAAAACATTGTATAACCATTTTTTGAACTATACTCATAAAAGCATCCCACTGATTATCTACTTCTAATGTCTCAAAAAGAGATACCTAGTCTACATTACCTAACATGAATATTTGACTCAAATTCACTTAACTGTATACCTTAACTTATATTCTATAAATATAAATATGCATTCACTGTCCCACAAATCACATGATTATTAATATACATAAATAAAAAAAGACAAATATAAAATAAAATTTTATTCAAAATAAAACCATATTTGATAAAAATAATAAAACTCTGTGATATAGTCTGTTTACATTCTCTGCATAGTTTATTGGAATCAAACTGTCATTGGAATACAACAAAACAAGTTAGACGAAGCTAATAAACAATAACTGGATTGAAGAATGCATCAAGCAAATAATGAATTTATTTATTGGATACTAAGTACTTCGGAACTCTTTAATAATTGGCAAAAATCTTTTTTGAGTGTTCTAGCCTATATAATATAATAAATTTAAACAAAGCTACACACATTTATTCTTTGAGGGCAACTAGGGAAACAGTTGGGCATGTAAGTCAAAGAATGCTTCAGAACATATACAAAACAAAAATAAAACAACATAAGCAGTCAGCACTTACAACTACATAAACAAAAATATCATTCTTATTAAAATCTCAATGACTTTAACTCTCCTAACCTAACTTAACCTATTATCCTTTTGAAATCTTCACAGTAAACACACATTCATTGCCTCAGGACTATATTGCAAATGGAGTCAGTTCTGGAATATCTAAAAGGATACAATAATTATATATAACATTGCTTGTCTAAAATCTGCCCCAATTATTTTCTGAACCATATGAAGTGACTCCCAGTGAAAGAAAAACTCTTTTTTTAGAATAATAGTGAGTGATAAAAACCTTTTAATGGATGTATCACAAATGATTATATCACTAAAATATCTAAAGTTACCTAAAGACTTATTAATGTAAGAATTATGATTAAGAAAATAATTGGGAGGGAGAGACCAGAAGTAAAAATGTTTACCATCATCTTCAATGTCCAACTTATGCTCCTGTGAGGTGTGCCTTATCAGTGTGGACAGTTTGGAAGTCTCAAATGAACAATATTCACACTCAAAATGATTGCAACTTTTGTGGCAGTCTGCCTCGTACTGGTATTTAGTCTCAAAATCACAGCTGTTACATTTGTAGGTGGTAACTGTTTTATCTGCATACATCTTTGTGGTGCTACATGAAAAATTTAATAATGATCATATTTTTCAAACAACAGAGTACAACTTACCTTAAGAAATGTTTGTAGTATTTTAAAATGGCATGGAAGTTTCCAGAATCGCTGTCTTCCTCCTCTTCCTCGTCTAGTTCTTTCGATATATCTATCCAAACATTATTACTACTTTCGCGTACATCCATTCTTTCTAAATCAGGTATAGGCAGTGACTCAGTGTCTGAATCACTGTCAGATGGGGGACAATCTGATAAAGGCTCTAGCTTAAACTCCGCTAGATGGACCTCCTCGTTGGATAATGATTCCAGCTTTACTGATGGTACATCTAAAAACAAACATAAAACTTAAAATAGAGGGTGACAATAATTCATGAATTTTGTATGGAATATTGCAGAAGAAATCCAAATACTTAGAAAATACTACCAGGAGTCAAATTATCTAAAAATATGTATAGAAAATCTTTTTCATATTCAAAAAGCTGACTTTTTTATATAAGTTTAAAATACATTGTTCTATAACATACCTGAAAAATTAATATGCTTACCTTCAGTAAATGATTCATGAAATTCAACATCAGGTTTATTAATAGGGGGCATTAATAGAATATTTTGTAAAACAAAAGGTTTCTTGGGAGGTCTTGGGATGCTTTTTTTTGGTCTAGGTCTCTTGATTCCTCCAGTTTTGCTAATAAGTCGTTTTACCCTTGAATGTATTGACGAAATCGTCAAAGGTTTCTCAGGGAAGGATTCCAACCATTTGATTTGGATTTGGGGCCATATTCTAGAAAAAAAGATGATAATGTTTTACTTATAATGTAAGAAAATCTCCACTAAATGCATTTGGACCATTCTCCCAAAACTGACATAATTAAATCAACCATTGTCTTATGGAGAACAGTTAGTAAAAAAGAAGAACCTACATGAACAAAGAAGTTCAAATCAAAAACATTTCCAGAGTTTGGGCATCTACAACATCAACTCAATTCACAATAGTTTATAAAAAATGAGATACGAAATTATACTCACTTCTTTCTGACACTATTTTCTGTATTATTTACGTTCATGTAAGCTTCCAGTAAAAAGTTATCATCATCTTGTGTAAAATAATGCCTACGCCTCTTTGAAATACCTTAAAAATCAAAATAAAAACAAATTTTTTACCTAAAACAGTTATCTTTTCTTTTTAAAAATGTAAATTTTACAAATACAACTTACTTTTGGACACTTCCTTCTTTGCACAAACTTTATCATTATCGCTACAGTCTTCTATAGCATATTCCCTCTTCACATTCTTTCTTAAAGTATACCTGCTTGCATCTAGACAATTTTCGAACAGTTCATCCTCTTTTTCAATAACTTTACTCAATTTTAACAGATCTTCATCGAGGTTCTGGGAAAAGTAATTGCACATTTCTGTAAAAATGTTTTCTGTTATATCCTTCTTGGTGACACAGAAAATTGTACAGTACGCTGTGATTTTCTTGTCCATATCTAGACAGCCCTTTATAAAACTGTAGCATATCTGCAGATTTTCCCAACATTGTACACACATCACTGGATGTTCAGAGAGTTCAAGATCCTAAAATAAAAAATGAAGGAACAATTGGAATATCTTAACACATATTTATACCTACCAGTGATATCATGCATATCTGCGACATTTCGAGAATCAAATCGTGCCGTAAAAGATTACATTTGTTTTCATAAAGAAATATCTGAGGCTTAGATATGATGTTCAAGCAGAGTCGACAAGCAGAACTCACTTTTCTACGATAGTTATTGTTCATTTGTACCAAACTCATTAAATCGATTTTGTCTGTAGTTGCCTCTTTGGCTGTTTTGATCTTTTCGTTGGTATCATTTATTGTGTCCATAAATACACTGAGCGTTTCGATGTTTGTCGAGCATATTTCGCATAATAGAAGGTCTAGATTTTTCATAATGGAGTACTAAAATAAGTAATAAGAAAGTAAGACTAACATAACATGTTTATCACTAACAGCAGTTTTCCTTATTTTTTAATTATCTGGATTAAGCACGCAAAGTCATTAGTGGAAAATATAACTATTCTGAGCAAATCTAGAATTTTTTATTTAAAAAAATAATAAAGCTATCTATCAATAAAAATAGGCGACTACGAAACAGTTATCGGAAAAAGTGTTTAACGTTGCATCAAGACATCAAAGCCTTTGTTAATTTCTACTCTAATTATCGTAAAAATAATGTAAAATATATTTTTTATAAAAAAAGATATGTACAAAAGTCAATTCTTCCCGGCAAAATGATTGTCCGAAGAATATCATTAAAATTTTTGTATATACAATAAATAAATAAAAAAAAAATTACGTTGAATATAACTTACCATGCCAGGTATAAATTTTTTCAATAATTCTAAAACCTTTTGTGATTTGATTTTCTCACCCTCTACTTGTAAACATAACCTGCAGATTCCCATATTTAACAGATTATAAATTAAGTTTCTGAATAAAAACTTGTCTTTTGTACTCTCAAAAATTTCTCCATTAATTTTTACACTAATGTCTCTTTTGAATTAGTTTTGATTGGTTAAAGAACTAAACAATACAATAAACATTTTAGATCAAATTCTCCCTTTGCTCTCCAATATATCTTCCAAAAAAAACCAAATGAGATTTTCTGATTTAAAATTTTTCGGATAATTTTGCAGATTTCTTTTTCGTAGATCAACGCCAACGAAATTGCATTAATACACTTTGATGTAGATGGAAATAAAGGCATGCAATAGTTGAATGGTTCTACAGTTTTCAATAGCCAGATAGTTATTATCTATTATAAAATTTTAAAATTACTCAAACTTTTTATCAAATTTAAAAATATGTACAAAATTACCACGATTATTTTTTACACATTTTTGCGCCATCTGTTAAAAACTGTTGAAATGGTTAGGTTAATAAAATCTTCTTAGATGTCGCTATAAGTTACTATTTTGGATTTACTCTTGTTCTGTCTCTACAATTTGTTGTATAACTAATAGGTAATTTATATAAATAAATTGAGAAAAACTATGAGAAACAATAAAGATTTTATTGTATAAACTCTAATTAATAATTATATCTAGGTGATTTATTCACAAATATTTTTATGAAAGTAAATTCTTCCCATATTGATCTTTACGCCATCTGTTCCAGTAACTGACAACTATACAGTTCATATGCCTTCAATAGATGTCGCTGCAAGTTTGCCATTTTCTTATTTTTCATCCAAATAATCTCTTTAATCAAACTTCCACCGTAAGTTAAAACATTTTAATGTTATTATTTTATTTATGTTTCGTTTAATTATGTCCCGCTTTTACTTCCCATTTGGTTTTTCTATTTATGATACATACAAGTGGTTACTTATAATGCACCCATTTGTCGCACCACCAAAAAACTACCAGTTTTAAGAGGCGTAGACAATAAACCGCGCAGTGTACTATATCTGAATTAAATTCACTGGACAAGTTTACGAAGGTTGGATTCGGTTTTATTTGCTTTTACACAGACAGAAGACAAGACAAAATTACAGTTACTTAAAATCTTAAAAAAATATCACATGACATTAATTGCCTACTTCATACTGTCTCTTATTTCTTCTTTGTCGCGGCCCAATACCACTACGCCTTTCATCCAACAATTTGTTCTAGTTAAAGGCAATCTCTGACACTATTATTAATCTTTTTTGCCGTTTCTCTATATTATTAATCAAATAAATGACGGTTATTTATTTGGTTAAATAATATTTAATAAAGGAATCTAAGAGTTTTCGTTCTAATATTTGATTTAACAAACTCTTTGAGGATTAGGGCAAAATGTATATAATTGTGAATAATTATTTTATGAGCGTGTATCGTGTATCATAAACTCCAGAAAATCTTTTTGATCTATTTGTTGTGATAAATATAGCTAATACTATATTATATCCGGTTTTGTTTGACGATAAAAATTTATTAAGTGAAAAATTCGCAAATTTATTGGCAAAGCGTTTAAGTACCTATAAAGCGGAAACGGCTAATAAAATACAACCAACGTGCAGATAGAGCAAAAAATCGGTAGCTCAATAGAGTTGCTAGTAGAGATGTTAAACAAGTACAGATGGAACAGTGACACAATGTATTGGTTCTTTATAAAATAATGTGATTATGGCTACTTATTGGAATGAAGAAGTAGAAGATTTTGAGTGATACAAAGAGCTACAAAAAAAAAACGATGTTGTGTATATATTTATGAAATAAGATGAGAAACAAGCAAGCGTATTGTTGTATATTACTTGTTATGTAATGAAAATGGAATGGAAATGGAAAAGCACGAAAGAAGCGATCTTTAGTATGCAAACATTAATACAGAATTGTTTAAATCAAAGAAAGGATGTTGTCTGTTTCATCGATTATGAAAAAGCATTCGATAATGTAAAACACGAATTAATAATAAAATACCTTCAAGAGCTGGGATTGGACGTCAAGAATTATCGCCAATTTGTATTGGAACCAGTTGACTCTTTTGACATTTGACATTTGTATATCTCAGTAGAAGACAAAGATATTGAGCCAGTTGACTCCTATAAATACTTAGGCCACGAGATCAGAATAAGTCGAGACAACCAAACAATCGAGCTGAAAAGAAGAATAAACCTCGCTTGGGTTGCATTTGGAAGGATGAAGGATATTTTTAGTTTTAAGATTCCAATGTGTCTGAAAAGAAAAGTATTTAATCAATGTATTTTGCTAGTGATGACCTACGGCGCAGAAACCCTAACGCTCACAAGAACAACAGTGAGTAAACTACAAGTTGCGGAAAGAGCAATGGAGAGAATTATGTTAGGGATTTCTCTACGTGATAGAATACCCAATGCTACTATACGCAAAAGATCAGGAGTAGCAGACGTTATTGAAAGGATAACAACACTAAAGTGGAACTGGGCAGGTCATGTAGCAAGATCAGTTGATGACCGGTGGACAAAAAATATTTTGGAATGGAGACCCCGAATACAAGCATACAGAAATAGAGGTCGACCCCCAGCGAGATGGACAGATGACATAAAAAGAGTGACTACAAATTGGATTCAGATGGCGCAAAATCGGACTAAGTGGAAGAGCATGCGAGAGGCCTATGTTCAGCAGTGGACGTTAGAGGCTAGTTAATGATGATGATGTATTGGAACCAGACAGCAATAGTACGTCTTTAAAATTTCAACGAAATAGAAGATTTCTCCATTAAAAAAGGAGTAAGGTAAGGTTGTATACTGTCTGCAATGCTGTTTAATTTATATGTAGAAAAAGCCTTCGCAGAAGCAGTTTCAGACTCTAATAATCTAAAGTTAACGGCATATTTATTAATAACATTAGGTATGCCGATGATACAGCCATTGTGGCAGATAACATCAAAGATCTTCAATGTCTTTTAAATGATCTAACTCTTGCAAATGAAGCTCGGATTTTGAAAATAAATATCAAGAAGACAAAAACAATGATTATAAGTAGAGATGATTACCCCATCGCAAAGATATATATCTCTGGAGAAGAAATCGAGCAGGTCAGCCAATTTAAATATTTGGGTTGCTTGCTGAACGAGGGTTGGGACCCCGAGAATAAAATAAAGAGCAGAGTTGAACAAGCCAGAAATGTTTTTGTGAGGCTTCGTAAGTTTCTGACTGATCGCAAATTAGACTTCAACCTCCGATACAAGATGCTTAAGTGTTACGTGTGGCCTGTTCTCTAGTACGGAATGGAAGCATGGACGTTAAAGGCTAGTTACATTAACAAACTTGAAGTGTTTCAAACGAATGCTTAGAATATCATGGACGGACAGGGTCAGAAATGAGGAAGTACTCAGAAGAGCGGGCTTACAGGATAGGGAACTTTTTAGTTATGTAAAAAGTAAGAAGACTGCATACTTGGGGCACATATTACGAGGAGAATGATATACTTTTCAGCAACTGATACTCGAAGGGAAGATAGAGGGTAGGAGAGGTCTGGGACGGAAAAAATGTCAAAGCTGCGCAATATTCGACAATGGACAGGAATCCACAGCTATGAAATGTTTCGCAATGCTGCTAAAAACAGAATTATTTAATCCTGACCATTTAACATCTCACCTGACAAGACGATGTACGGTGGAAGCCAACGCAGAAATGCACGGCACTTTAAGAAGAAGAAGGTGAAGACCAAATACAAATTGATTCCTCAGGGTTTTGTTTAAATTATTACCAAATTTGCAAGTTGTAGCTAATCTACTTAAAGCTGTATTATATTCATTGGCACTTTCCCATTTATGCTGTTTTCTTTGTGAAAATCTGAAATTTTCCACTATTTTCAACGGTTCAGGATTATAATGTAGTTTCATTGTATTTACCAGTTCATCATATGACTTCTCATCTCATTTTTCCGGCGAAATCTTATCACAAAGAATATCAAATGTATCTGGACCCATGTAGTGTAGAAGATATGCGGCTTTCTTGTCTTCTGCTACTGCAAAGACATTGAATGCACTCTGAAGGCGTTGTAGCCACCGGTCAAAATTCTTGGATGTATCGTAAGTTTCAATGCTAAATACGGTGTGAACTGAATGGATTGTAGTCTCAGTAATCTCTTAAATGTATATGTAATTGTAAATTAGACAGGATTTCAATTATGTATGTAGATTTTTTGTAAATTTTCAGTGTGGGTCACCATCTTGCAGTTAGGTTATGTATGTGTACTGGCCATCGAGCAAAAAGACAAGAGAGGGAATCTAATCGTTATCAAAAGGAGACCAAAAAAGTGGCCTCTGATGGCGGACATATCCGGAAATGCGGTAACTATAAAATAGTTTTTAGAATGTGTCTTAGACGAGAAACTTTAAATAAATATAAACGATAACAGTCTAAAATGTGACATAATTGTTAATAAACTTCAATATAAATAAGATTTCATGTGACAGTTGGGACAAACAATACCAGCCATAACCCACGGTCCGTAAACTTACTACGGTTGCCTATTCCGACTGGGGTGGGGATGCTTGAGTTACGTCACAGGAGTACACAAGAATACAAAACCCATTTATTCGCGATTGAAACTGAATGTAGAGGGCAAGTCGATTGCAGTGTCATGGCCGATATAAATGGTATAAACAAAAACAAACATAACATTCGAATATTTACCATTGCTTTTCCATGATTAGTTTGGTTTAAGACGAGTTATTTGTATCATTTAATAATGGAAATTAACCTTAATTATATCTTTGAGTATTGTGGTGAAGCAAAGAGTCCGTTGGTTGAAGGGGCAGCAGTTTTCAAGTGATGAATTCCTAAATTTTAACTTTAATGTTTCGAACTGGCTTGTGTATTGATGATGATGAATCCTATTTTGTGTATACCTGGGAACCCAGAATATAATATTCTGTGTAATGTTTGCCTTAACGTATATATGCATTATTATACCTTATGTTTTTAATATGTTAATTTTTATTTTATACTATTTTTTGACATATGTAAGTACTTTATTGTATATTAACATAAATAAATAACTTTAACTTGGCTTTT